CTTTCCCTCCCATCAGTACCCTCCAAATCCATGGCAATTGTGCAAGGATCAATTCCAACACAATGTGCTATCCAAATGCCCTTAGTTGTTTGACTCCTGAAACAATTATGAAACATATCATTTCTCTCTCTTATGATGGTGAACCAAAATTGCATCAAGAAAAACACAACAACTGACAAGAAATTTGAGTTCATCTTCTTCCCAATCTACAAACTTGAAAAACTTAAAACACCAAACCTTCCCCTGTAAGCATCCATCTCCCTGAAATTTGTGTGGAAAAGATGATTCAACAAAGTGCTCTTCCCTGTGTCCAAAAATAATTAGAAAAAAAAAATGAATAAATAAATAAGAGAATCCCAGATAATATCCTCAACTATTCTTCAAATGCAATAACAAATATATAGGAAATCACATGCAAAACTATTGGCAACCTATTTCTAACTTATTACTTTGAAAACAATCGTTAAAACTCAATCCAGAACAGTTTCAATTCCTACTATCTCTCACTCTCGTCAATTCAACAAAAGCTAAGAGTTGGTTTGAAGAGGGAAAGCTAAATTTACCGCTGCTCTGAGGTCCCATGACGGCGACGACGGCGTAGGAGAGTCCGCACTGGGCGAGCTTCACTTTCTTCATGAAATCCTCGAGCCCCGCGACGTTGAATTCGCCATTTCTGTCGATGAGTTGCGTGGCGCAGCAATCATCCGCCATTGCCGAATCCTCCAAGCAAAGCTCTAGCTCTTAACTTCACCTGCTTACATATATGAGAGAGAGAATATGCGTGTATAGGTTTTCGTATCAATCTCGAATATGAGAAAGCGAGCGAGAGAGAGAAAGATAAGGTAAGGCTTTTCTTGGAGTTGAAGCTTCGGTGCTTCCTCTCCTTTTTATAATTATTATAATTATTATTTTTTATTTTGCTTTCTAGGAGTTGATGAGAGTTGCAGAGGAATTGGATACCAAGGAGAGAGAGAGAGAGAGAGAGAGAGAGAGAGAGATGAATAGAAGAAGACAAATCACAGATGGCGAGACGGAAGAGAGAGGGGTTATCGCCGACTCTTGTGATGTCTTGTAATCATGTGTAAAATGTCTACATTGTCTACTAATCTATCAGGTTTATTTTACCATTTAAAATTTTAATTTTAATTTTATTATATTTATAAATTCTCATAAAAAAAAATATTTAATTTTTTTTCTATTATATTAAAAAATTCTTACATAAAATTAAATTTCAATTTAAATTAAAAATTTAAATCTAAAAACTAAACAAGACCTAAATTCTTTTTCACAATCTCTCGTTCACTTCGCGGATTCGAGTTTTCAATTCAAGTTGAGATGTGACGTTTTGTTAGAGATTTTCACTGTAGCATAAAAAGTTAGATGTGACATTTTCTAATAATTTTTTACTGTAGAAACCTAAAACTGAAAATTCAAATCGGTGAAATGAACGATGCATTTATCTTCTCTAATTGTCATGTGTCATCTCATTTTTCAAAAAATGTAAAGCCTAAATGAGGACTCTTCTTTTCTTTTTGTTACATGTTTGCCCTTCTTTATAATCCAGCTTTGCCATTTTCTTCAAGGGAACATTTGATGATTTTTTTTTTTAATATAAATCGCATGAAATTGAGATTAGTGCATTTCTTTTGGCAGTATTACTAATTGCAATGCCCCAAATTGATATAATACTAAAGAAAAACAAATATAATATATATTTAGAACAAATAATAATCGAAACACATATGACGGGACAAATGAAAAATTAACTCATCACGAATATCTATTACTCTCTGAGAAGAAACAAACCCAAATAACTCTCATACATTTCTAGTTTATCAATTAACCCTCAAAATTTATAGACATTTTAGGCTACTGATTAGTTGCTCTACAACTGAGAATAGATGACGTTTCCTATATAAAAAATAATAAAAAAAAAGTCTACAACTGAAGCAAGATGGAGGTAACAAAAACATAGGCATTCTTTATTTTACTAGTTTAGTTCAGTTCAATTCAGTTTGAACATTGTGCACAGTTTAAATTGACATTTAATAAGCATACTGTTTGAATTATATTTTCCGTTTGAATTGAGTTAAACGGCTCAATTTAGAATTTAGCTCTCCCGTTAAGTTTAACCGTTCAAGCTATTTTTTAACTGTAAAAAGTGCCTACTCTCTCTGCTTTTCACATCTACTAAACACAAATTTAAATTTTATTCCCTGTTCAAATTAAATCTTTAACTATACATCCAAACGACAATTCAAGCTATAATTTAAATCACATAGTTTAAATTTTTTTGTTTAAATCTAAAAGTTCAAACCAACGAACTAAACGAGGACGTAAAAAGTTGCATCAAATGTTCCCTTAATTATCAAAAAAAAAAAAGTAGCAACGCTGGTAATTGTGAGGAATGGCAAACCATAAAAAGAAAAAAAAGAAGGATCTCCCTGTTCACTTCGCTGATTCGAGTTTAGATGTGACTTTAAGTGAGAGTTTTTTACTGTAGCAAAAAAGTTAGATGTGATTGTTTGTGAGAGCTTTTTACTGTAGAAAAACTCGAATCAGTGAAGTGAACGGGACCAGAATTAGGCTTTACTTTTCTCGAGAAATAGGTTGCCAAGGGGCAATTAAAGAAGATAGAGAGTGAGAAGGAGAGTGACATTTCAACTAACACTAATATTTTTTATCTATTAAGATTAGAAATGCCTCTGACCTTATTTTTTAAAACTGTTCAAAATATCTCGTGATCTATACAAAACAGATTAAAATGTTCCTTCTATTCACTTTCGTGTATAATTCTAACAAATTTACTGGTGTGGCTCTAACATAAAATATAACTACAGAGCAAAACTCCTACAAAAGGTGGAGCGAAAGTCAGATTCACCCACTAAATAAGACCTAATTAAACAATGACCTTAAGCCGATCACCGAATTCCAATACTAAACTTACAAATCAAACAGAATCAGATCGAAAAATCACCGTCCTTATCACAAACAAAAAAAATACAACACAAAAGCTAGGAAAGACCCAAAAAAATCAAACCAGCAAGATGAGAATGATGGAAACACTAAAAATTTAGAACTATATAACTAAAAATTTAGAATATTGTGAGAAAAAACTAAAAATCAGTTTAAAATGATAAAAAAAAGGAGGTGAGAGTTTTTTTCCCTGGATAATAATAATAATGAATAGTAGATGTTTTGGATAAAATTATAAAGGTGGTTATTTTCACACGCCTCTTGTTATTTTTTACACTTAATTTTTAAATACATACTCCACTTAATTTTAAAAAGATTAAATTGATCTTTTGCACATCATTATTATTCTAAGATTACCTCTAATTTTTTTTCATAAGATTATTAACTCTTAAAAATTTTATTTTTCTTTCCACACCCATTATTTTATCTTAATTTGTTATTTAAAATATTATCATTTATTTATCTATATATATTTATGAAGTTTTGGGCATGATGACTTTTCTCGTACATAAAGAAAATTTACTATTACGTTCTTTTTAGAAAAATAAAGGACATAAATATAAGCATAACAAGAACGTAATTGTAACATTTTCAAGCGAAAAAACATAATTGTTACATCAATTGAGGTAATGTAAAAAAAGACAAAATAGGAAGAAAAAAGAAAGCAAATTCTAAAGAGTATTAAAAAAAAAAAAAAAAAAAAAAAAAAAGAGAACATCAATTGAGGTAATGTAAAAAAAGACAAAATAGGAAGAAAAAAGAAAGCAAATTCTAAAGAGTATTAAAAAAAAAAAAAAAAAAAAACAAAGAGAGAATGAAACATAACAAAATATCCAACGTTATAAAAACAAGACCAAAATGAAATGAACATCCTTTAAAAAATACATAAATTTTGGGATATAATATGTGAGGTGTGTTGAAAGAAAAAATATGTAATTAATTTTCTTTTATAATAAAATTTAATTAAGTAATTAAGCCATTATAATTATCTTTTTTTGTCATTTTATTGAGGGTCTTTTTGTCATAACAAATTTTAATTTAAAAGAGAGTGTGAAGAGTAAAAAAGAGTGTATGAATAGAACCACCCTTTAATAAATTAAAGTAAATATGGGATTTACAAGATGTAATTTATGATCAAAGTAGATAAATTTAAAATTCACTCGAATTTATCTCATGAGTAAATGTAGTAAATTCAATATTATTATGCTTGATTTATGATCAAATTTTGATGAATCCGAAATTTAGTAAATTTATCCTCATAAAGCCCCTAAATTATATATCTTATTTATCAATATTAACCAATTTTTTATTTAGATAATGTATTATAAATTATAGTTACTAAACTCATTTGTCTATCCTTATAATAAATATTTCAAAACTAAAGATTGAAAGCTGGGCCATTAGCTTTAGACTTATTAATGTTTACATGCATTCACAATACATCTTTATTAATGTTTACATGCATGTATAATATTGGTCAGTTTTTGGTAGAAGTATAATATTAGTCATTACGCCTTTTCTTTTATTTTGTATTTGTATTAGTACTTTGCTTGAAGAAACACTATACGAGTTTTATTGTAATTAAAAAGGAAATAAAGAGTATTTAAAACCAACTTCAAATCCGTAATATAATTCTGGTATCAAATCTAAAGACGTGGGTTTAGAATTCCGCTTTCATTTGAGAATAAGCGGTTGATTTAGGGCTTATTTTTTTAGAGTGTGATTTGAATGTAATTTTTGAGTTAAATTTGAGTTATAATTTGAGTTAAAATTGTAACTTGAATAAAGTTTAGTAAAATTAAATAAAATTGAAACTTAAAAAAACGTGAATTTAAATAAAGTTGTAATTTGAGTTTAAATTTTTTCTGAGTTTTGTTGCAAACAAATAATCTCTTAAAGACTTGGATTTTGATAAACGATAAGAGTGATGGTCAAATTAGAATGTCATAAAAATTATTGATAAAAGTTTTTAACCATAGAAAAATTGTTTAAAGTAAAAAAGAAATGGTCTACTACTAATACTAATCAAATATATTTTAGACAATTAACCAGAAATATGGATAAGTTTTTCATTTTGAGGAAAGGTTCAAACTAGAGAAGAGGTATGAGTGGTTCTGGAAGGAGCATTTGTTGCAGAAGGGTAAGGATCGTCTTTCTTGTGGTCATATGATTTTATTACCAGCCAAGGAATCTACCGCCAAGAAAACCTCTTTCGCTCCATCTACATGTGTCTCACATTTCATGTACGTATTTTCACCTGACAATGATGATGAGTCTCGTAACGACTCAGAGTATTGGTCAGTCACATTGAGGGCGTGCAAGAAAAAATGTTTTCGCAAATGCAGGAAAAAGGGATTTCAACTTCAGAGGCCAGAGATTCGTTCACTTCGTAAATTTGAATTTTTAATTCGAGTTGAGATGTGACATTTTCTGATAGCTTTTTACTGTAGTAAAAAAGTTTGATATGACATTTTTTTAGAGCTCTTTACTGTAGAAATCTAAAACTGAAAACTCGAATCGGTAAAATAAACGAGGTAGTGTTAAAGTATAAAATTATTATTGATTCACCTCTTAACAGTTTAAATTTTTATAATATATTGATAAATTAATATGGTATCAGAGTAACTCTTTATCCCTATTTATCATTATGTGTTGGGTCTTTAATATATCTCGGGTTTAAATATTTATGTGTTGGGCTTTCTAATTAATTTACTCACACGATTGTCCATTATCCAACCCACTCGTAAAGGAGAGTGTTAAAATATAAAATTATTATTGACCCACCTACTAATAGCTTAAGCTTTTGAGATAAATTAATAAACTAACATATAGTGAGTATTTCAATGATTGTATGTCCCATTGCCTATATCCTAAAATCAAGCCTCCTTGATTCTTCCATTACAATAATGTTACATAATAGAGTCCACTTGTAAATATGTATATATATATATATATATATTTTTTTTTTTTTTCTTCTTCTTTTGTCATGTATGCCAACTTCCCAATCCGCACTACACTCTCTTCAATTTTCTTGTATTTTATCATCTACACCTTCAGTACTTTCTTCATGAGTTTCTAGCTCATTTAGCCCGAGCGCGTGACAAAAAATAATAAAAAAAATATCAACATCATTATTTTTATCACGATTTTTATTACTTAAACTCAACTAACATAATATATATTATTTAAACATAAAATACCCCAATCGGGGAACGCATTAGATATTAACCTAAACCAGTAAGTCTTTGAGCGGATCCCACGTTAGCTCCAAGACGTTGATCTCTAACTAGAAAAGTAAAGTAAATGCTTGAGCTTGAGAAGCTTCTGGACCAGTGGGCCCGTAAAACTCACTAGGATAAGCGATATTATTGAACTAGACAAAGTAACAAAACTAAAAATGGATAAATCACCTAAACTATAAGACAAATAATAAAAAAGCTCCTTAAAAAAAGATATATAAATCACACATTTTGCAGAGGACATATTCATACTCCTAGTATGTTGTTTTGGGTGTAATTATTGGGCACACAACTAAGGCACCCAATGACTCATGCGATGATCCATCTTGCACCAAAGCCATCCTACACTTCTCTCGCATGCTCTTTACCTTTGCTCTCACTTCGCCATCACTTTCCATCAACCTCGTTATCCCTCTCTCTACCTCCTCGGCCGACACCAAATCACTACCCTCTCGGTAATCCAACGTTATTTCCACTGCCAATCCCAATTCTTTTACCATCTCAAACGCATTCATCTGTTGCTCAGCGTAGATTGGCCACGTGGCAATCGGTACGCCATGCCACAAGCTCTCCAAGATCGAGTTCCAACCGCAGTGCGACACGAACCCTCCAACCGCTCGGTGTGCGAGGATGGTCACTTGTGGGACCCACCCGCACACCAAGCCCATCCCAGCCGTTCGTTCCAAAAATCCATTCGGTAGCACCTCGTCGAAATTCGTGTATTCACTTGGGAGACCTAATTTACTCTTGGGTGACCCGCGACACGACCATACAAATCGAAATCCGGAACGTTCGATCCCGAGTGCTAGCTCTTTCACTTGCGGCCCACTAAGACTACCTAAGCTACCAAAGCATAAGAACAACACAGAAGATGAAGGCTGATTGTCAAGCCATCTCATAACCGTTTCATATTGGGCTCTATCAGGATGCCACTGGGCTGGGCCACTAAGGTCGACAATCGGCCCAACTAGGTAAACCTTTGGTATACCACTAACAGAGAGCGAATGTAACACAACGGGTTCCAATTCACGCAATGAATTTACGATAATACCCTTTGTTTCCTTGTACCTCCGCGCGTGACGCAAACACCAAGAGTATTCATCTCCCCTCTTCAACACCGTAGTAGGCAGAACTCTCCGCGGAACTGAGTTAGCAAAGCCTCGAACGCTCAACTCAGCGACTGAATCGGAAGCGAGTTGCGAGTCGAGAATCGGTATGTCAAGCATGAAGCTGAGAAAACTCGCTGGGGAGGCAAAGAAGAGGTAAGAAGGAAGGCCTAGATCGTCTGCGACGTCGATCATGGAAGTGCAAAACATGTCAACGAACAACCCAACGACTTGTCGTTTTGACTCGGAGACGAGGAGCTCAGATATAGCTTGCTTGACGCTGGGTTTGTGCTGGTCTACGAGAGATGATAAGTGGGCGACGTAGGAGTGGAAGTTATCGGGTGAGGGAGGGTGTAAGGTGGGGAGGAGGAGGAAGCGGAGGTTGGGGGATGAGGTGGCGGGGAGAGATTGGGTGTAGGAGTGGATGGTGGGCCAGTGGGGGACGGGGATGAGGAGAACGGTGGCTGATAGACGGTCAGGATTGCGGTGGACTAGGCGGCGAGCGAATTCGACGGTTGGGGTTAGCATTCCGATCGCCGGAGTGGAGATGAAGACCACCTCCTTTTGGTGTTCATGATCATGAGAATGAGATTTTCCAGCCATAGTGGGGTTTTGCTTTTCTGGGAATCTGTTGTGCTGTTGTGATGATCATTATTAGATGCAGAGTGTTGATATAGTCAAAATCAGGGGTAATAATATATATATATATATATATAGATATATAGAAAATAAGATATTGCTTCTACCTACCGGTCAACGTTGAAATACGGTTATGTATGCAATGAATAGCGCAATGTAAAGCTAAACCATCTATTTTATAGAACAAGTATTAGCGGTATTTCTTTGTAAATATGTTCTTATACATATTGGCATCTCTGTATTAGTTTTATATTTCGGTATTTAGAAATATCATCAAATTTGTTCCTTATATTATTTTCAAAAATAACTCACTCTAAATATTTTGCCATCGTTTTTTTTTTTTTTGGGACAAAAAATATTCTTAATTGTCCGTTTAAACAAAATTTCCAATTTAATTTGTTGTATTTAAAATTCTAAAAAACACCAAAAAAAGAAGAGGGAAAAAAAGGGTGCATTGACTTTTTTGGAAGATGTGAATGGTTTTTTTTTTTCTTTTAAACTGTTTTATTCAGATCAAGGAGTGGAAAGGACATTACAAGGATACTCTGAGAGTATTTTGTCTAAAGTACTAATGTATTTAGTATTATCTAAACATTAGTGAAGTTTGATCATCTATAGGGTATTAGAATATAAGTTTCCTTTTATGCAATCTTTGGTATTTACGTTTTTATGTTTTTCATTTTATTAATTGGTTAGATTTAAACATATTTGCATGAATAATATTATTCTTTGTTTTCTTTTTAAATACGGTATGGGACTTATAACTCTCACTTTATTCAAAAAATAAAATCATCAAGACTCGAGCTTTAAGTGACTATTTGTGTGGATAACATTGTCTATTAGTGGTGTTCTCGTTGGTACCCTATATTTTTAATAAATAATAAAAATACATGGTACTAATGAGAAGTTATATCTTTAGCAGGGAAAAAAAAAGATTAGACAAATGTTTTCTTCGATCCTATCATATTATCACAACAATATTTCGTTTCAAAAAGATAATAAAACATATAATAATATAATTGCAATTTACGTAAGAGGCTGATGTAATATGTATATATGTGTGTCTATATTTAGATATGGATATAAATTTTTGAAGATTTATCTTTGACGACTAAACCATCATGCACTTTCATTGTAATATAAATATATGAATTCCAATTTTGCTTAGTATTTGATAAACATATTTATATGGTTATATAAGTTATTGAACATTACTTTATTTAATCACTAACTATAAAAGTTAAATATTTAATATTATATATAATTGCAGTGCTACCGATATTCAAGATTATCATCGACAAATAGATATCGAGACTTCACAATTATCATTTTCATCTAGAACTATGGTGTCAAAATCGATGACCAAATAACTTTTATCTCTGGTTTTTTTTTTTTTTTTTTCTCTTCATTATGATTTCTAATTTTCTTTCCTAAATAAATGCATAACAACTTCTGGTAAAATCTTCTGTTGCTTTTTTTTTTTTTTTTTCCCTGATGCTTTGCTTTTCATTTGTAATGTTGTTGAAGTCACATTTTACTTATAGAAAAAGTTGTACCTGATGACTTTTATTGGATAACATTTTTAATTGGGCAAAATATTCAAGAAAATTATTTCTTTATCGAGAATATATATATATATATATATTTACACCGAACATTATGTATTGTGCAAACAAGGCACGTATACATTAAACTAGTTATTAAAAAGATATTTATAATGCATCACTTTCATTTACCAACTCAATTAAATTAAATAGCTTTTAAAACTAGGCCACTTTTTTTTTTTTTTTTTTTTTTACCAAACATTACGTATTGTGCAAACTAGGCACGTATACATCAAACAGCTGGTTATTAAAAAGATATGGATAATGCATCACTTTCATTTACCAACTCAATTAAATAGCTTTTAAAACTAGGCCACTTTTTTTTTTTTTTTTTTTTTACCAAACATTACGTATTGTGCAAACTAGGCACGTATACATCAAACAGCTGGTTATTAAAAAGATATGGATAATGCATCACTTTCATTTACCAACTCAATTAGTTTAGATTCAAATTAAATTTTAAACTATAAAATTATTAAAATACTCTCAAAATAGTAAATTAAATATCAATTTTAGTTAAAAACCTAACGCAGAGGTTTTTTTGTTAACATTTTATTGTTTAAGAGAACAGCTATTACGTATTAAAGATCAGGGGACAAAGTGTCCTAAATCTAATGATTTAAATTTAGTCTATTTGATTTGGTTATCTTCTCACACCACACCTCCTTCTCTAATTTTATCTTTATAAATAATTATATATAGAGAGTAGATCATGCATTTATTTCTTCAACCGTTTTTTGTGATTGTATATAATATAACTTTGTTGATTTTTGTTCACCATATTTCCAATTTTATAACTTTAGAGTTTACATCATCATTATAAAGGTATGATTTTATTTTTTAATTTGAAAACAGTTATGGGTCAGTTCTTTTACATCATCATTATGTTTTACTTCATCATACTAGTTCTTTTAATAAATTTCGTTGAGCTGTACAAAAATAAAAATAAAAATAACAATGGACCTCATTGATGTACGATTAAGTAATTTTCGAGCCATCTCTTGAAAACAGAGGGGGTAAATAACGCCCTAGAATTGGTCTACGGGAAAGAAAGCAAAATAGAAAAGTAGTTGAGAATTCGAAAAAAGTTATAAATTTTCAAACTTTTTGGGCCCTATTTATTTTACCGATTCGAATTTAAAATTCGAATTTTGTTATAGTAAAAAATGTTAAAAAACATTTGAGTTTATCACTTGGGTCGTTGCAAAAGACCGATACTGCATTATAAAATGTTAAAATAGAGGCTATACCAAAATGTTTATTCTGCAAAAATAAATTATAAAGGTATAGTATTGGTATAGACAAATAAATTTCATAAAGTAATATCTTTACTTATCGTCGCTTAGCCTATTCTCTTATCGTCGTTGTCATTCGATGTCGTTGTCCACCTCCGCCCCTTCTCTCTCTTTTGTTTCCGCCACTTGTAGTTGCCGCCTTCACTGACCGACGTCGCCATCACTTGTATGATCTTTAATATTTAGTAGTTATTACATCTAATAGATACGTTGTTTGTTTAAAGTCTACTTTATATTGCTTAATAGATATAAATGTTGTTAATGTTGATATCGTTAATATGTGCTTTTTTATAAATATTGGTTTAGTTATCTTTTTAGCGGAAAAAATTTTATAATTTTATCATGATAAGTTTGATGTAGGCTATTAAGTGTTAAAGTTTATGATTATTTTGTTTGATAAGTTATTCATTAGGCTATTATTTGGATATTTTTAATTGACTATATTAATGTTTTAGGATTTTAGGTTATGAGTTTGATTTGAATTGTTACCGCTTTTTTGTTATGTATGTCACAACCCAAAATGGAGGGCAAATTTGATAAAATTTATAAAATGTAGGGAGAAATTTGAAGAAAAAACTATGTACTGTTTTGGATTTTAAGCACAGTTTCCCCCTGAACTTGTCGTGGTTTAATAAATTATCCCTTAAACTTTTGATTTTGACAATTACAATATAAATATAATTTTATCTCTTAAATTTAAATATTAGCCCAAGAAATCTGAAGAAAAAAAAAAAGAGAAAGAACACATTCCATAAAAACAAGAATCGGATACAATTAATTTAAATATAAAACATGCTAAGTGCACTGATAAAAGTCCTCAGTCTAAAACCTTGCGTGTTATTTTTAACGTACTACGCGGAAAGCACCCTCTTAAGGAAATAAACATGTTGAAAAAGCTTAAATTGCTCCAAAAATAACTTTTTTTTTTGTTTTTTTTTTTAACGAGGATGAGAAAATTTGAACTCTACATCACATGATAACGCGAACTTACCCTTATCTTACGTTTACATCAACTTTGATAACTGTGAAAATGTAGTAGCTTAGGTAGTGGGTAGAATCCATTTACTCCATTTAAATTTCACTCACTCGACGTTTATTTTCTGTATTCGACTCTGATTCTGAATCATGATTCATGATTCTTTATAACGTTTTTCTCTCACAAAAAATACACGTAAAATGAGAATTATTCTGAATCTATGAACCAAACATCCACTTAATTATTAACTATTAATTCTTCAACCAAGTCACTCAATGACCCATATGACGATCCATTTTCCATTAATGCCATCCTACACTTCTCCTTCATCTCTTTTACCTTTGCCCTCACCTCAACATCACCCTCCATCAAGATCCTTATCCTTTTCTCTATTTCCTCGGCCGATATAACTTCGCTGCCCCCCTGCCTATAATCCAAACTAATCTCTACTGCTAACCCTAATTCCTTTACCATCTCAAATGCATTCATATTTTGCTCCGCGTAGATCGGCCACGTGGCAATCGGGATACCATGCCACATGCTCTCTAAAGTAGAATTCCAACCGCAATGAGACACGAACCCCCCAACTGCTCGGTGGGCCAGGATTGTAACCTGTGGGACCCACCTGCACATCAAGCCTATCGTGGCCGTTCGTTCCAAGAATCCATTGGGCAACGCTTCGTCGAAATTCGGATATTCAGTAGGCAGACCTAATTTAGTCTTGGGTGGCTCACGACATGACCATATAAACCTAAATCCTGCCCGTTCGATCCCGAATGCTAGCTCTTTCACCTGGGGCCCACTCAGACTCCCCATGCTACCAAAGCACAGGAACACCACAGAAGATTCAGGCTGTTTGTCAAGCCATCTCTTAACTTTTTCATACTGGGCTCTATCCGGATGCCACTGGGCTGACCCGTTAAGGTCTAGAATCGGCCCAACTGGGTAAACCTTTGGTACTGATCCGCTGGTAGAGAGCGAGTCTAGTACGAAGGATTCTAGCTCTCGCAGTGTATTTATGACAATGCCCTTCGTTTTCCTATACATTCGCGCATGGTACAAATATCGAGAATACCCATCTCCACGATCCAATATGGTCTTGTGCAGAACCCGGCGCGGAACCGGGTTGGCAAAGCCCCGAATTCTGAACTCAGCGACCGACTCAGAAGCGAGTTGCGAGTCTAGAATCGGCAAGTCGAGTACGAAGCTTAGGAACCCAGCCGGCGACGTGAAGAAGAGGTAAGAAGGAACGCCGAGGTCATCGGCGACGTCGATCATGGACGTGCAGAATAAGTCAACGAACAGGCCGACGACTCGTTGCTTTGACTCGGCGATGGCATTTTTGACGTGGGGTTTGTGCTGGTCTATGAGGGCGAACGTGTGTGCGACGTAGGAGTTGAAGTGATCGGGTGAGGGAGGGTCCATGTTAGGGAGAAGGACGAAGTTCAGGTCAGGGGATGAGGTGGCGAGGAGGGATTGGGTGTAGGAGTGGATAGTGGGCCAGTGGGGGACGGAGATGAGGAGGACGGTGGCGGAGAGGCGGCCGGGGCAGCGGCGGACTAGGCGGCGAGCGAATTCGACGGCTGGAGTAAGCATTCCCATTGCTGGGGTGGCGATGAGGAACACTTGATCATTTTTTTGTCGATGGAGTTGAGAATTTTGGGAAGTCATGGTTTTTGGGGACTCTATGATGCAGGCTTTAACGGTTTGTAGGAGATCTGAAGATGTCGGAAAGAGTTGCATGAGGTGGTGGCATATATATACCGTGTAAGATATATATATATATATATATATATATAACGAGTCATGCTACCTTATGGGTTTAATAACATTACATTTTTGAATTCTTAAAAAAGAAAATTATATCTTTGAAGTGACATTCTATATCATATAATATATAAATTCATATAATATTTATACTCGTGGGATGCGGTTCTATGTGTAGTTATCATTAAATATTAAATATTAGAGGTTGATGATGTAATGCGATTAAAATTTAACATCATTAATTGATATGATTTATTTTTATCAATTATCTAATTTATTATAATTTGCATATCACTATCTTACTATTAATATAACAATGGTCATCAACGAATAAATAATAGAGAGTAACCACTAAAACCATTAATGTACTTGTCTTACATATACATACATAAAAAGTCATTACTCTTATTTTAATTATCTTGTGACTTTTCCATTTTTAAGGGATGGTACCTTTTCGTTTTTTTTTAAAAGGATTGTAGATTATCAAATTAATTTTAAGAATAATTGTGAATAGAAACATAATCATTAAAATAAATTTATATTTCTACAAAAGTGCGAAACGTAAGACGAGCATGTGCTTGATTCATGGCAATGGCAGTCAATAATGGAAAGCTAGACGAGCATGTGCTTGATTCATGGCAATGACAGAGTCAATAATGGAACGATAGACGAGCATGTGCTTGATTCATGGCAATGTCAGAGTCAATAATGGACTGTGTATGCACCAAATTTTTATATTAAAAACAAATTTATTTATCAAAATATTAAAGAAGTATCATTTTGTACAAAAGTTCAATTGAAATCCCGTAAGCACAATTGTAAGATATTTCTCCTTATAATAGAGTTTGGATTGTTTATTAAAGTATCTCTACTTATTTGTATCCCTCTTATTGACATATTTCATGATTTTTTTTTCAGAAGTTAGGGATTCGGCTTTGGGTTTGAATTGTTTATTGAATTCCTATTTTATGGAAGAAGCATAAAAAAAAAGGGCTTCTTTAATAAGATTAGTTAAAATAAGAGGGCTTCTTTAATAAGATTAGAGAAAATGAATTACTTATAGTTTTTTATTTTTAATTATTATATGTGTATAAAAACTGTTTATTTTATATATTTTTTTAATTTAATATAATTTTAATTTTATTTAACGATTAAAAATTAACACACATTCTCAATAAAAAATAAAACATAAAAAAGAATTAGGTATTCCTTTTCGTTGTCATTAGATATCTTTTGCAATTTGTTTGGGAGGCTTCAACAGTCCCAAGCACTGAATCAAAAATCAAAATGTCATAAATGATTGTGTTGTTCATGTAAGCTGATCTTGTTATTAGTGTTTGGATAATTATAGTACACACTGAAAAGTAAAATGTGTTCCCGACTTTCTCGGGAAGTGTTTATAAGTAGATGGGAAGGACAATAAAATTTTTTCCATTTTTGTTCCCCAATATGCTGTTCCAGAGGCGCTCGTTTGTCGCTGAACGGATCAAGAAATGCTCGAAGTTAACAGAGCTGGAACATGTATATGCTTCCATGATTAAGACTGGTGCAACCCAAGATCCTTTGCTGACGAACCAATTTATCTCTGCATCTTCCAATTTTTCACGTGTAGATTATGCGGTTTTAGCCTTTAAACAGATAGAAAATCCTAATGTCTTTGTCTACAATGCAATGATTAGAGGCTATGTTAATGATGGTTATCCTTACCAAGCTTTAGAGTGTTATGTAGACATGATGAGGGCTAAAGTTTCCCCCACGAGTTATACATTTCCATCATTGATTAGGGCTTGCACCTTATTATTTGTTCCGGGATTCGGGGAAGCTGTTCATGGCCATATTTGGAGGAATGGGCTTGACTCACATGTTTATGTTCAGACTGCTATGGTTGATTTTTATTCAAAGTTATCCAGAATCAAAGATTCGAGAAGGGTGTTCGATGAAATGTCGGAAAGAGATGCTTTTGCATGGACTACGATGATTTCGGCTCATGCTCGAGCGGGTGATATGGATTGCGCAGCTAAATTGTTTGAGAGAATGAGTGAAAAGAATACAACCACTTGGAATAGCATGATTGATGGATTTGCTAGATTAGGGAATTTGGAGTCTGCAGAGCTGCTGTTCCATCAAATGCCTGCAAGGGATACAATTTCATGGACAACCATGATCACGTGCTATTCGCATAACAAGAAACACAGAGAAGCTCTGGCAGCGTTCGAAGAGATGACGATGAATGGTATCAGCCCCGATGGAGTGACGATGGCGACTGTCGTTTCTGCTTGTGCCCATCTTGGAGCTCTTGAATTGGGAAAGGAGATGCATCTTTATGTAATGCAAAACGGGTTTCATCTTGATGTTTTTATAGGATCTGCATTGATTGATATGTATGCCAAGTGCGGGGCATTAGATAGAGCTCTTCTAGTTTTCTTCAAATTGCGTGATAAAAACCTGTTCTGCTGGAATTCAATCATTGAAGGACTTGCAGCTCATGGGTATGCAGAAGAGACGCTGGCGATGCTTAGCAAGATGGAAGAGAAGAATATCAAGCCAAATGGGGTTACCTTCGTTAGTGTTCTAAGTGCCTGCACTCATGCAGGGCTTGTTCAAGAAGGCCGCAAGAGGTTTTTAAGCATGACGAATGATTATTCAATCACTCCGGGGGTCGAACACTATGGGTGCATGGTTGATCTACTCAGCAAAGCTGGATTGCTTGAAGAAGCACTAGATTTAATAAGAAGCATGAAAGTTACACCCAACTCTATTATTTGGGGGGCCTTGTTGGGCGGATGTAAGCTTCATAGGAACTTGACAATTGCTCAGGTTGCCGTTAAGGAACTAATGGTATTGGAACCAAACAACAGTGGTTATTACCACCTTTTAGTTGACATGTTTGCTGAAGTAAATCAATGGGGAGAGGTTAAAAAGATTTGGGCAATCATGAAGGAACTTGGGGTGGAAAAGAAATGTCCGGGAGCAAGTTGGATTGAAATGGAAAGAAGCATTCACCAGTTTGCGGCATCTGATAATTCTCACCCGGCATCTGCTGAAATTTACTCGTTGTTGGCTTGGTTAAATGGGCAGTTAAAACTTGCAGGCTATGTTCCAGATCTCAGTTAACATAAGTTACATCCTTCACATTGAGAAATGATGATGCTCGCAAAAAGAATGGATAATGCTGGTGCAGCAAACCGCGCTGCAGATATGGATAAGCAAATAGTTGGGTGAATCCAACAAAAAGAATTAGCAATCCAGGCACCCGCGCCCACATGGTACATTCTTTGCTCTGCTTCTCACATTTGTTCTTTTAAACCCTGTTGCTGTGGCCTGTTGAGTTTAGATATTTCATATTAGTTCCAACACAAGCATTCAATTTTTTCTGCCACATTAGCAAAATATGGTGAAAATGATATGCTCTAAATCAAATTAATTTGGAACTGTTATTAAGGATGCTTACTGTTTGCGCAAAATTTGTTTTTGAAACTGTCGTTGTCAATATTTAGCTGCCTTTTTTCTTTTTCCTGATTAAGTTTCTAAAATCAAGTGGTTTTTATCACCAAGTTACGTTTTAATACCTGATTGTAAAAGAGAACAGAAAAAAAAAAAATTATAAAAATAAAATAGAGCTACAGATACAAAAAACATAGTTGTGACTTGTGACCCGAATTTTTCTTGCAGTGACCCAGATATATCACAAAGATCCAGAAGGAAATCACATCCTTGCCTCTCCAATCCATTCTCTGGGGACACAATACGTTTCATGCTTGGTAATTTTACTGAACAATTGAAGTCGTAGAATTTTTCTGTTGCTAAAAGCATTGTGCTTTAAAGCTAACTGAATTTTTGTGTTGAAATTGGGCATTAGCATAGGGTATGTTATTGTAGAACCTAATTATGATGCTAAATCCCGTCTCTTTTGTAGTGTTTGGCCTGGAAAATAGCCTCAATAAACTGAATGTAGGAGATTTAGGGCTTGTTCTTTTAGAGTTTAACTTGAGTATAATTCTTGAGTTGAATTTGAGTTATAACTTGAGTTTATGTTTGGTTGTGTACATTTAAGTTTTGATTTGAGATAAGAATCTTTTTGAGTTTGTGTTTAAGTAAGTCAAAACTTGAATTTGTATTTATATAGTATTTTAATAAAAACTCAATGCTGATGAAAATTTTTAATAGGGTATATGGGTCGGGTTTTATTCGTCTTTTCGTTGTTAACGCATAGAAAAAAAAATCATCTCAATCATAATTAAAACGAAAAAATTATAGCATTTTTAAGAATAGAAAAAATATTGTTCATTAATTTGAGTTCGAGTTTCTGAACTCGAGTTGAAGAGGAAACTTGAACTCGAGTTTTAGTCCTAAACTCGAGTTTAAACTTAAAAGAACATAAACTCGAATAAAGTTATAACTCGAGTTGTTTTTTTTTTTAGTTTTTCACTCAAAAGAACAAGCTCTTAGTTCCACAGATTCTGATCATCTCCCATGTAATGTCATATATGTTGTATTGCTCTATAACCATTCCCAACCATGTTGAATGGACTATACATATGTTTGGTAGAGGAGTTCGAATCATAGTTCAAACGGTTCAAACGGTTCTGTTACAGTGTTTTTTCTCATAAATATTTAAATTTTAATTCAAACCATCTGGTTTGTACTCATGAACCAAATAACTCCGATAAGATTGTGTTTGAGTGCATCAATGAATTACTGTTGGAATGGAAATGGTGGTGATAGGAATAACATGGAATTATAAAGCAAGTCCCTTGTTTAGTTGAGACTTTGGAATTTCATATCACGAAACATGAAACGGGGAATTATATAAAATTCAAGCACGAGCTTGATGTCTTTAAATCTAGTAGAAAACCGAGGTACTTTTTTTTTTTTTTTCCAAGTACTTGTTTAATATGCTTCTGAGATTGGGCATTATGTAAAATCCATAATTATTACTCTCAAATCAATATTTGGGAAGATTAAGCAGGCAGAGAAGTAATAGGTCTCTGATTTTCTTTGTTTGAAATGCTTGTGTAGTCAAATAGTTATTCTCTGCTATTGAATATTATATATAAGCCCTAGCCTGTAAGTTGTCTTGAAAGATTAGTACATTATTTGATCTTATAGTTATTGCATGGATTAAGTGGAAATCTTAAAACTGGTCGAACGTATCAAGTACGTATAGACTATAGAATAGAATTTGAAAACTTAAGCTTGTTCGAGTTTAGAATTCGAGTTTTGCTACGGTAAAAAGCTCTCAGAAACAGTCATATATAACTTTTTTGCTACAGTAAAAAGCTCTCACACAACATCACATTTCAACTCGAATTAAAAACTTGAATTAGCGAACCGAACGGACTGAGTATAAATATTGTATTCAGTCGATCCTGGTTAGGACACGTACATATTGCAACCAAAGATAATGTTCTGTGAAGTTTCCTGTTTGTAACATTTTTTTTTTTTTTTACTCTGGCCTAGTCAAATCTTGTGACTCTGTGAGACATTAATCATGTAGGGTTGATTCCTAAAATCTAACAACTATTTTCATTTTTTTTCCAAATAACTTTTTTTTTTTTTGGCTATTTTGCATGAACATCTTCCGAACTTTTTGAATTTGGCAATTTAATTCTTAAACTTTTTTTTTCTGACAATTAACCCTCAGAACTTTTAATTTTTTAGCACATTTAGTCATTGTTGCTCAAATTCGTTAAAATTTTAGTGGTTTTTTGTGCCAAACTTACAAGTGACAGCTTAAGAAACACATTAATGATATTTTTGTTTGGTATTAATAAAATAGGACTTTCTATGGTGTTCCCTCTTTTTTAGGAACACCGGTGTTCCTTCTTATCAGTTGTTAAATCTATATTAAAATTTGGTTAAAAGTCAAATCAGATTGAAAAAGTAATACATATCCAACTGCTGATAAGTAGAGAACACCGGTGTTCTCAAAAAATAGGAAAGACCAGAAAATTTTCCCGTTTGGTTCATGGATTAGAATAATGAGATTAGAACCATTTTTTATTTACGTGTATTTTTTGTGAGAGAAAATACTGTAGCGAATCATGAATCATGATTCGAATCAGAGAACGAATCCTCCAACCAAACGGGCAATTAAATTAAAGTTTAACTTATAATAAAATTAAGTTCAAGTTTTTGTGCTCACTATTTAAACTGGGTTAAAATGAACTAAATCAGTAAAACAAACGAGAAAAATATGTTTAGAGATTAGATTAGATATCCCTCACCAAGGGAGGACTATTTAGGTGGCTATGGTTGTTTTTCTAGGGCCAAATGACGCCCCAAACATAAGATTAGTATTCCGTTATGCCTTTTTGTTATCTTAATCGAATCCTAAATCTGATTATCCAAGCAACACCATGAAAACAATGCTCAAAAATTTTCTTAACAGAAACAGCTAACCATCTTCAAGATATCTGGATTCTATTTATGGTGCACGATAGTAGTTTTCTTCCTTCCTTTCTTTTTTTTTTTTTTTTAAACAAAATGGTAAATAAAAAAGGGAGGTAATTTAATTCCAACTTATATAACAATAAATCTTGTTGAAAACCCAAAATCCATATAACAAACAATCCATTAAAGTAAACAAAATTATCAAACAATTGTTTTTAATAACAAGTGAACAACAGAGAGATGTACTCTTCTTGAGGACAAATTCCGCAAATAAAACAAAACATGTTTTACAAGAAAATAATCTTTAGCTCTCGTTGCCACTGCCAATCTTCACCTGACCCTTAGCGCTAAAGGTTAAAGTTCATACCGGGCCCGCGGCCCGAATGAAAATTTCGGGTCAAATTGGCTTAGCCTTAAATGGGAGATAAACGGCTCAGTTTGACTCTAAGCCTGAAAAATTTAAGATCGACTCAAATAATTATACTAAATATAAATGTCTAGACTCATATATTTTTAAGGATAAATTTTTTATTTTTTCAAAATTTTATTTAAAAAGAGGACGTCCCAGCCCGGTCTGAATAAACTTTTGAGTTTGAAACTTTAACCCGGTCCAACCTAAAGAATAGGCCTGAGCGGGACCGAGCCCGAGCCAACAGTGACAAATATCGGGCCGGCGTGTTTGATCCAATCAAAACTTACAACTCTACTTAACACTAATTATATAAATGAAATTCATTACTAGCAATAATTATGGCGTCGTTCGTTTCGCGTGTTTGAGTTTTTAATTCGAACAGAAATGTGATATTTTCTGAGAGTTTTTAACTGTATAAATCTAAAATTAAAATAACGAGGCCCATATAAAAGAAATCCACCACGTAACTTTACTAAACAAGGTTGACGTAATTGTTCCCCTTGGGAATCAATGCCCAACTACACCAACATTTTGGCATGTGATGATGTGAATATATTTCGTTTTACGATCCACAATCAATGTCCATGCCTTTAGACTATGGTACTTTAATATATAAATATAGAGTTTTTTTATTAATGGAACTGTTTTATATATATCTGGGTCTGATCTGATATCCGAAATGTGAAACATTGTCGTAACTTCTTCCCCCATCTTCATCACACTCCCAAGACATAAATCACTGACACAAATTGGGAGCCTTATTGAATTCAATGACAAATTGTAATTCATTACTTGAAGTTACTATTTTGCCCCTCAGTTTTGTACCCCTAAAAGCGCAGGCTAGAGTCCAAAAACTTATAACGAAAGGGACAAGTCAGGGGTTTCAATGACAATAGTTGGGGCCTCTGGCCCTTTAATGGTCAAACCATAGTCAAAGTGATGTGTACAACAGATGTACCCATCTCATGTCCTACCTGGGGATGATTAAAGAAAAGTGCAATACTATTCAACACGGGGTAATGCAAGCACAACTTATTAATGAGATGTAAGATCGTTAATTTAAATTTTTAATTTAAGTTAATATGTAATTTTATGTGAAAATTTTTTATTATAGTAAAAAAGTTAGATATGATTATTTTTAAAAAATTTTTACTATAATAAAATTTAAATTATAAATTCAAATCAATTAAATAAACGGTACCTAATCTAATAAAATGTAAGCTTTATAAGCCTCATTTAATTCGTTAATTTAAATTAAAATATAATTTTATATGAAAATTTTTTACCGTATCATAAAAAATTTAATATAATTTTTTATGAAAATTTTTAACCATAATAAAATTAAAAATAAAAATTTCACTAAGGAGCCAGAGCTTACAGATAGAATCTGCCTTTTATTATTAATGGTGGCGGTTACTGTTTAGCACCAATATGCTTTTAAGCTTTTTTTTTTTTTTTTTTTGAAAAAAAAATCTATGGGAGATGGTCCGTTCACCTCACTAATTTGAGTTTAGAATTTAAGTTAATATGTAATTTTATATGATAATTTTTTACTATAATAAAAAAATTAAATGTGATTATTTGTGAAAGCTTTTTACTGTAGAAAAACTAAAATTTTAAATTTGAATCAGTAAAATAAACGTGTCGTTAGTTTTTTTTTTTTTTTTTCCCACTCTCTCTCTCTCTCGGCATACGGAAATCTAAAAATTTTCTTAAAATTTAGTTGTACTTATTTATTACTTTCTTAAAAGTTGTGTTTAGTAAAAAAATAACGGGAGATGGTCCGTTCACTTCACTAATTTGAGTTTAAAATTTAAGTTAATATGTAATTTTATATGATAATTTTTTATTATAATAAAAAAATTAAATGTAATTATTTGTGAAAGCTTTTTACTGTAGAAAAACTAAAATTTTAAATTTAAATCAGTGAAATAAACGTGTCGTTAGTTTTTTTTTTTTTTTTTCCCACTCTCTCTCTCTCTCGGCATACGGAAATCTAAAAATTTTCTTAAAATTTAGTTGTACTTATTTATTACTTTCTTAAAAGTTGTGTTTAGTAAAAAAATAAAAAAAAGGAGGTAAATGACTGATTTTTAACAACTTTTTTAATAAATAGCATATCTTTTTATTTTTTAAACAAATAGTCGAAGTTTTTTTTATTTTAGTAAAATAGTCATTTTTTCAATAGTCAATCAGTAATTTAGCTATTCATTATTACAATTTATCAATAATTTATCATTAATAAATTTATAATTTGCTAATTGAAATTGATTAATTATTAATTGATTTTGATTAATTATTTACCGAATTGATTAACAATGAAAAATTACCGACTTAATTAGTGAGAAAAACCTAAGTCAATCAGTGATTGATCACATGAAACTTCTGTACCACATGAAATTGATCTAACAATTAATTTCACTACTTGTAGGTTTATATTGATTTTGTTTTCTTTTTCCTTTTTCTTACCGAAGATACCCATTAATGGCTAATATAGTAATCCCTTTTTACTTGATGAAATGCATACAACATGCACACCGTGTTAGATTCATGCAAGTTGGTACACGCATCGTAACTAACTAGTAGCTTTCTATATATGGCTTATAATTCTTAGAAACTTTATACACTTAAGAATTTCAGATGCTAAAAATATGTACGTATTAGTTTTTTAAGTTAACTCCAAACTTCATCAAGTCCTTATTGTAATGAGCTACTCAAAATTTTAAACGTGTCATTTTCACAAGCTTGAACTTAAAGAAAGTGTCAAAATTCTTCCTTCCAATACCTACTTTCGTTAAATTAAACTAGTTTTGAAAATCTCCCATAAACTATAATTTCGTTAAATTTACAGATTTTCCATCACATTAGACAACAATTCGTAAAATCTGTCATTTATAGATTATTTGGTTGCTAGATTCATGCCATGATTGGTCAGTTACGTCTAGTGTTTTCCTACGTTAGATGACTTTGTCACTAAAATGTTGTTAGTTACGCCTTGTACCTAGTATTAAAATTATAGTAATGTGTCAAAAAAAAAAGAGAGGGAAATAGTAAAAATAAAAGTGTTGTTATTATTATTATTTTTTATCATCATTAACTCCTCAACATGGACAAATTAACTAATGGTCAACGATCCATATTGCTAAGGTTTATAATTTATGAGGCAGCTAACACGCGATATCTACCCCCTTTTTTTTTTAGCATATTGCTACTTGCATGCATGCATGCAATGGATGTTACCTTAGATCTTAAATACTAAGTAAATAAGGTAAAAGAAATAATAATGAATAGTTTAGATATAGTATTTTTTCGAAGAGGTCCATGATTGCTATAAGGATAATTAAATCTGTAGCCATACTGACAAAAGTATGAGCGAGATGGCAAATTACTTAAATATTATATGTATGTATATATATGTATATATATATATATATGAGTTTACATGTCGAAGTATCAAAAGTAAGATTCAGAAAATCGTATCCTTTCCCGGTAATGTCAATTAGTATCATGGTTATGCATGAAAAGTTTTAATATATTGAACGGTCATGCGTCCTCCATCATCACTTGATTTTTTTTTAAAAAAAAAATTACCCTTTACTAATTTTAATGTCAATTAGTATCATTGTTTCTCTCTCACATTATTATATACACGTTCCGCTAAAATAATCCTTTGACTATATATGCGCTCTGCCACTGCCGGGAATGACTGACTTTACACAGAAAGAGGCCGTAGGAAAAACATCAATCCAGTTAAGCACTCCTTTAATGGGGTATGCATAGGCTAATTAATTAAGCTAGGTGTAGATTAGCAAAAATAATTAAGCTAGGTGTAGCTCGTTTTCTCTAGATTAAGGGTTCATTACATGTATTTTATATATGATCAGTTGAAATTAATGCAAGAAAAACACTTATATCCCGATCGTTTTGCATATTCGAGTTGAGAATTTGACGTTGAAAAGTGAATTTATGTGAGAAAAAATATTGTAGCACAAAAAATTAAATTTGATTTTTTATGAGAGAAAACATTATAACAAAAATGTGAGTTGTGATTCGAATTAACTGAAACAAATTGTTTTTAATACTATGAAAGCTTTTTGAAAGTTAGAGCATTTTACAAATTTGTGATTGTTTTTAACGATTTTAAGTTTGCATTAAATACGGAAGCACATGTTGAGTACATTTGTTTAATTTCATTTTAAAAATCTCTTGTCAATTGTAGTACTGTTGAGTTGAAGTTGTCAAAAAAAAATTAATTAGCTACGACATTATCGTCGCAAATAAATTTAAAATGTCATGACAAATAATAATTAGCTGTTAATTATTTGTGACGACATTATATCATTGCAAATAATTTTTAAGTCGTCGCAAATAATCATTTTTCCTGCGTCTACTTTTTTGTGAAATCTTAAAAGATTATTTGCGACGACAAAGAGACAATGTCGTCGCAAATAACCTAAAACTATTTGCGATGACTTATCGTCGCAAAAAATGGATTACCTTGGCGTCAAAAAACCGCGCCATTGAAATTTGCGCTCCAAAATTATTTGCGACGACATTTAAGTTGTTAGCGACAACATAGTTATTTTATTTAACAGGGAGTAATTGCGACGACATGTCGTCGTAAATATGGTATTATTTGTGACGACATGTCGTCGTAAATATAGTATTTTTTGTGACGATAAATGTCGTCGTAAATGGCCTTTATTGTTGTAGTGTAAAGGATTAATCGACCAAAAAAAAAAAAAAAAACTAAAGAGATGAGATGATCACATCTAATTAAAAAGTAAGAGACTGATATCACCAAATTTTTGTTTGCTCCGACTATCTGTACCTTCTTTTTCCACTAATCTGATTCATTTTTTTTTATATATATTCTTTAAAGATTGTATTTACCATTTTTTTTCAAATATACACACTTTCTTGGTCTTATACGTTTCCTCATTAATTTCTTTACCGTCATTGAAAACAACAGAAGAAAAAATAGAATTTACATTTTGTTCATGGATTAGGGACCTAATGCTTTTAATAGTTGCTTTCTTTCTCCAAAATCAAATTTGCTAAAAATTTCATACCTAGAATTCATGATTCAACATTATCAAAAAAAAAAAAAAAAAAACAAAGAAAGAAAGAAAGAAAGAAAGAAGGAAAGAAAAGAAAAGAAAAAAAAAAAAAAGAGCTCATGAGATTCAACAATACTAGCCTCCTGTATTTTTCTCTTAGCTCTAGCTAGCTAGCTAGTACAATGAAGGTAAAATATTAGTTAAAAGTGAATAGTCTTTTATCAGAATTTAAGGTTAAAGTTTATGTTTTTAAGTTTTTAATTTAAATTGAAATATAATTTTATGTGAAAATTTTTTATTATAATAAAAAAATTAAATATAATTATTTTTAAAATTTTTTTATTATAATAAAACTCGATAAAATTAACGAATTATCCGTATACATTTGTGGTGATGCTCTCACCACTGCATTCAAGAAATAATTAGTTTGAATATGTTTCTCTTTTGAAAGGACCACTGACACTTCTATTTTTATCTCTCTGAAGTTTTTTATTTTCTTTTTTTCTCCTGAAAATCCTGTACAAATTAGTCGACAATAGAAAACAGCTTATAAAATCAAAAGAAAACGTTTCAATACTTGTGCGAGAATCCCTGATATAGTATGACAAGAAAAATATATGCTACAAGTCGATACTGCAAATCCTGGGCAGTACCCTAAGATTTTAATCAATTTATTATCTTATAATAATTGTTTAATAGAATATAATTCAAATTTAAGCTAAAGGTTAAAAATTAAATCTCACTATAATAAAATTTTTACTAACGTGAAAAAAAGAGAAAAGCTATTTGATTAAAATGAAGTTTTGTGTAGTGACATAAATAATAGGGTTAAAAATAATAATAATTAAATTAGTATGATCAATTTTTTAATTATTAAATTTAATTCAAAACTCATTAAATTAAAAAAAATATGAAAAATAGACAATTTTATAATACAAATTTAATGGTTAAAAATGATTAAAATAAAGGTTGAAGAAAAAAATACCAATAATGTTATTTGTTGATTTAAATTTTTAATTTGAGTTGAATTATAATTTTATATGAAAATTTTTTACTGTAATAAAAAAATTAAATATAATTATTTTAAAATTTTTTTATTATAATAAAATTTAAATTATAAACTTAAATTAATAAAATAAAAGGCAGATAGGTAATAAATAATTTTAACTTTTACTTGCAATAAATAGCTACAATTGGGACGGGTGGTGATGATTGAAGTGGACCACGTGTATGGTAGTGGTAGTCATACTCGTCGACTTTCCAGTGCCAGCAAGCACTATATCTTTTCCCTTCTAATCCTCTCTCTCTCCCTGTCTGAAATTTTTGGGGTTTGTTGATATGTCAGTTTGAATGGATTTGCTTGGCCTTTTCTTATAATGGTACTCTCTCTCCTCCATCTTCACTCGCCCCTTCTCTCTCTCTCTCTCTCTCTCTCTTGGTTTTCCTCACTTTGTGGGGGGTGTAGTAGTGGTTTGCATAAGTAGATTTAGATTTGAACTTTAAACTTTTGGAGATTTCTTTTGGGATTTTATAAAAAGAGTTGATCACTTCGCCAATCCAACAAATCCTATAGAGCTAGCTCATCAAAAGGTTGAAAATTCCCAAGTAGCAAAAGTGTTTGAAGGAAGAAAAAAAAAATGAAAACTCACTCGTATATGGTGCAGAAACTCAGCTCATGATCTTACCAGTATAACCTATTTTCTTACTTCTCCACAAACCGACACTTTACCAAAAAAATCCCCCAAAAAAGCAAAAATAAGAAAGCTTCACAACTTAATAGTGAGCTCAAGAGTGAGTGATTAGTGATTAGCCTTGTTTAACCAAAACCCACTTGTTACCTTTTACCTAAATTAGCAAACCTAGTGGAGATTTGACTGGTTTTGGTCTTTTGGGAGAAGAAATAGTACTTTTACAGCCCACACATCAAATCAAAACCCTCTAGAGAGGAAGCAAAAGACAGAGAAAAAAAGACCCCAAGACACAAATACTTAAACCCAATTAAACACTCTTCTTCTTTCTTTTCTTTCCCAACTCCTCTTTAGCAAAGTTTCATGTTTGTTTGAGTAGTTTTTTTGCATGCACTTTAGAGATCATAGTCATAGAATATTATTATTGTGATTGTTGTTATAATTATAATAATATGGCTGATAATCAAGGAGCTGCCACTACTAGTCTTATGAGAGACTACAGAAAAGGGAACTGGACAGTAAGTGAAACGATGATCCTAATTGAGGCAAAGAAGATGGACGACGAGAGAAGAATGAAGAGAAGCACAGGAAACGACAGCGAAGGAGGATCAATCAGGATCAACAAACCGGCGGAGCTGAGGTGGAAATGGGTTGAGGATTATTGTTGGAGAAAAGGGTGTATGAGGAGCCAAAACCAGTGCAACGACAAGTGGGACAATCTCATGAGGGACTACAAGAAAGTGAGGGATTACGAGAGAAAAGTCATGGCCGATCATCAAGGAATTAGTACTAGTAGTGCGACCGATCAGTCCTATTGGAAGCTTGAGAAGAACGAGAGGAAAGATAAGAACCTGCCCACCAACATGTTGCCTCAAATTTACGAGGCTTTGGTTGAGGTTGTGGAGAAGAAACCTCCGAGGGCTTTGGCTGCTTTGGTGCCAATAACTTCGACTCCTCCAGCCACTGTTGTTGGGTATAATGTGGTGGAGAGAATTATCGGCGGCGGCGGCGGAAGTGGCCGTGGCAGCGGTACTAGTATTATTCATCATCACCAACAACAAACGCCGTTAGTGGCGTCAGCACAAGCTTTATTGCAGCATCATATTTCACCGTCACCAATTACAGCATTGCCACTTCCACCAGCGGTGCCGGCAGCGCCGAGTCCAATGCAAGCGCAACCTCTTCCGTACCCACAGCCGATATTGCCCACAGTAGGTACTTTCACTTTCTTCTTGTTTTTTTTTTTTCAGTAAAAGAGAATTACCCTTCAATGAGAAAATTCCATTTTGAAGAGTTTTATTATCGTTTTTTTAATTGAAGTGCAACATTCTCAGGAAATTAAGTGGGTACTTTTGTTAATCTGTTTTGATAACAATACCATATTTGTTAACTTGTGATATTGTGTGTAGTTTTTCATCTCTCTTGAATTTTTCTATTCAATGCAGAAAAAGTGTCCATTTTGTTATTCCATGAATTAAGCAACTATCATGTATACATAATATATATATATATATATTTAAATAAGTGACCATCCATGAATGACTGATGATCTTCCGAGTGAGATGGCTATTATTTAATAAAATGATTTGGGTATACATAATTTGTGAGCAATCTTTAGTGTATATTGATTGGTTGAAATTTTCTTGTTTTTTGTGGGTGCATATTTGTATCATTTGGAGATGTGTGATAGCTCAGATTCTGATACAAGTGAGAATCCTTCTCCACACTCACCAGCAAAGAGAAGAAGAAAAACAGACCAACAACAACAACAACAACAACAACAAGAACAAGGGACGACAAGTGCAAGTGCAAGAATTAGCACTGGCACAAGCTCATCAAATCATGAAGTGGCTTTTGCCATCTCCAAAAGCGCTTCCATTATAGCAGAAGCACTTCAGGCCTGTGAGGAGAGAGAAGAGAGAAGGCACAGAGACCTTCTGAGCTTGCATGAGAGGAGGCTCAAGATTGAGGAATCTAAGACTGAGGTCAACAGGCAAGGCATTAATGGCCTCGTTGACGCCATTAACAACCTCGCCAATTCCATCCAAGCTCTGGCTTCCGACAAGCACCAATCCACTTCCAAACCTTCTTAGCTTAATATAATATAATATATATAATTATTCTTGGAAATAACTATTTTTCTATTTAATATTATATCTTCGATTTACGTCTAATTATGCTCTCTGATGATTCATGTGTTAATGGTGGTTTTCATTAATCCCCATTTGGTTGCGGTTTTGTATATAATTCATAAATTAAACTCATTGTGTTCTTCTTCCATTTGGATTTTCATTGATGATTTTTTATCATATTTATGCTGGTTGGTTACTTGGCTTTTGACTCTCTCTCCTTTCCCTCTCTCTCTCTCTCTCTCTCTATATATATATATATATATATATCTCTCTCTCTCTCTCTAGTATAGACGCGCATATGCCATTTCAAGCTTCAATAAGAAGCTAGTTGTAAATTAGTTGTCACTTTCTTTTAATTCTATGCACAAATACAGTAACCAATGCCCTTCACTTTTTAATGGGATATTTAGGAAGAAATACAAGTTTAATTTCTAGTTTGTCCTTTCCTTTTCCACCCTATATCTTCAGTCCATGCATGTATGCTATTAAACCAGAACGTTTAAAAATTAAAATGAATAAATATGAGAATTATCCCACAGCTACGTAAAACCTTTAGATATGTATTAGTTTTGTTAGTTTTGCTTACTTCTAATTTTGATATGATTTAATCACTAATTTTTTTTTTCTTTTAATTAGCTGGTTTTCACTAAAGTTGACAACGTTGCTGGCGCAATCGCGTTTGGTCGATGCATTTAGAATTATGATTCAGAATCAATTTTGATTTACGAGTATTTTTTGTGAGAAAAAATACTAAAACAAGTCACGAACTATGATTCGAACCATGACACGAATCCTTGAACTAAACGCAAATGATCTAATGTTAAGATAACATTCTTCTACCAAAACACGTTAAGTTTTTTCTTTTGAAAATTAAACACATTAAGATTACAATCACATATCCCATTCATATCATTGTACCAAGAAAAAAAAAACTAATTATATTTATCACAACAGCTTTTAAAAATGATTATAGATTTATTTGGAATTGAAAAACTTGCCATAATATATAGATATATCTAATTATCTGTTGCCACCGCGCGCTTTCATAGTCTATGCATTTACAAATATTGGCTTTGATAACCTACCTTTTATGATGTTCAACAGATACAAATACCCTTCAATTCATTAAAAAAAAAAAAAAGAAAGAAAAGACTAGATACAAGTACCCTTCAATTTGTGTCATGGTTCGTGACTTGTTATAGTATTTTTTCTCATAAAAAACACACGTAAATTGAGAATAGTTCTGAATCTATAAACTAAACGTCCATTTCATCTAATTCAAAGATATAATGACCATATGCCCAAAAATTAAAAAACACTGTAAATTTACCTACAAAGATATCTCTAAACTGTCTTATTCTCAAAACGAAAAAAAAAATACATTTACTTCATTAATGAAAACAGTGTTTTAGCTGTTAATTTATGACGCGTTTGGGATTCGTTTCAAAATAATTTTATGTTTTGTATGAAAATGAAAATGAAAACGTTTTTAATTTCAGACATAAATAATTTTTAAAATGTGTTTGGTAGTTTTATCAAGAGATTATTTTCAGTATAAAAAAATCAATTAATGTCTTTATCTCTTTCTCTGTGCTCGAGAGAGGAGAAAACGAAAACAAAAAATAAAAAATAACTAAAAGTCGTTTTTTATTTCTCTCTCATTTTACACTAAATTAAAAAATTATTTTTATTTTTATTTTTTATCTTTATTACACTAAACGACATTTTAAAAACATTTTTATTTTTTTCTTAAAAAATAAAAATAGAATTAATTCAAAACACGGTCTTAATTTTTTACACAGTACTCATTTGCAATAAAAATGTTTCTGTATTGCACCTTTTAAATTTTAAACGCCGACATGCACATTCTAAAAAAAAAAAAAAAAAAAAAAAAAACACTTTCAATAACTAACTCCCTCCTCACCTAACAAAAAGTTTTGCCGAATATATGAGTGGCTCACAAAATAACAAAATGTTGTACAGTAACACGAGCTACACATCGTTTTCGCTGGGCATCATCTCCTTTTCTCTTTCTCTTGTTTTTTTTTTTTTTTTTTTTTTGCTAATCCTCTTTCTCTTGTTTTTTATGTACAATTTTATGAGTTTCAAAAATGGGAAAAGATCAATAGAAAAAGATTACGTTAGGCATCTAAAGAGAAATTTCTCTGCACGCGCTCTCGCATGGGAAGGAGGCAACAAAATTCATGGTGCTGCGTTTCAATTGGTACGTATTACACACGCGCCACATGAGAAGGTGGGAAATCCTTGCCAAAACGACATCTATCATTTATGAGGTAGAAATATATATATATATATATATGTATGAGAGAGAGAAAGGAAAGAAATGTTAGTGAGCAGAGGAGCAGTGGCCAGTGGTGGTACTGCAGAAACTGCAACTGCACAGAGAGGAAATGGCTTCCCCCAAAAGACTGGTCAAAGGCGACCGGTCAATGATCTCTCTGACTCTCAGAAAATGCTTTTGGGGCTGAAATTACTAGAATGCCATCATGGTTTTTTGGCATTCTCATCTCCTCTGTATTCCATTGCCTCTTGTGTCAATGAAGGCTGGCTGGCTCTTACAAAAGTCGGACCCTGTCCATTTCTCTTTCTTTTCACTATTTACTTTTCTGCCCTTTTCTGAGAGTCACTCTTGAGAGTGAGAGGTCATTATTGCTAATTTGTTAGTAGTCTCTTTGTTGTATATTTCTGACAAAAGGTGTCTGCTCAAGGTTTTTTTTTTTTTTTTTTTTTTTTTTTTTTTTTTTTTTTAAAAAATTACTGAATTTAATAATATTAGGGGTGTTTCTTCCCTAGAATAAAAAAATAAAACTATCTTTTTTATTTTTTTTAACTTATAAAAAATTATCTATTCTACGTATTTTTTTATTTCATTTGATTTTGATTAAATAGAACGGTCAAAAAATTAGGTTTATTAGTAAGACGACTTACTGAAAATAATCCATAATTTTAATATGATGAGTTTAGATTTTTATCATTTTATTCTTGGTTAATATCCTTTTTATTAGTATATAGTTATTTAACTAAAAAAAATATTAGAAAGTAGGAGGTAAATGGTGCATTTAGAATTACTTTTTGTTGTTTTTAAAACGATTATGTACATCTTTTGAGGTATGAAAATAAAAACGGTCTGAAAACCGTGTTTGTTTAGTAAATATTTTAAAAAAATGAAAACGGAAATAAAAAAATAATGAGAATGATTTTTGTGAAGAAACTAGAAAACGGTTAAAAGTTATTTTTCCTTTTTTGTTTTTATTTTCTAATAGTTATCAATAATGTTATAATATATTAATTAATAATTATAATCAAACACGATTTCACTTTTTTATTATACTCAAAATAATCTCTTAAAATTTTAATCAAACATAATTTTAGAATCTATTTCAAAATAATTTTCAAAACAATATCATTTTTATTTTTATATTAAAAATAAATTATTTTAAAAACGTTAGCAAACTGTCCAAAAATTCAGAGTATATGTCTTCTTAAAAATTAAAAAATTAAAAAAAATAAAAAAACTTTTTGGGGTGCCCTTTTGCTCTTTTTGTAAGAGCATCACAGAGAGCCTGAATGTAATGGGCATTTCAGCTTTTTTCACTTTTTCTTTTCAAAGTAATCTTATTTTCTTTTTCATACTTTTTACTCCGCATTGCTCATTTTCTTTTCGAGTTATTTGTTGTTTTGTTTGGATCCGGTCAGATTTCCTTACCTTTCTTCTCATTTCACAGAGATGTATGACAATTGCTTTATGTTATGAGTCTTATGACATAAAAGAGCCATTGTGCTCTTTCAGAGTATAGTGCAGGCAATAATATTATGCAAAAGAAATGGATATTGCGTATTGGAGATTCTCCCAACAAGAAAAATTAGAATTTCGTAATCTTATCAACAAGATGGTAAAAGCCTTTTCTAGGCTCAAACTCAAAATATTATGTCACCCTTTTGGGAAACTTTCATGCTGCCAAGGATGTTTTTTTTCTTTTTTTTTTTTTTTTCCAACAGTGTGCCGTGAAAGGAGGAGAAGACACGTGGACAATAAAAAAGAATATATGAGAGCAACCAGTTGAATATGGAAAAAAAAAAATTAGAGGACAACAATCGTTTAATTTACTCAACGATCGATGAAACAAAAAACGCGATTGAGGACATTCCTTAAGTGTACCCGGACAAGTTTTAAACTCATTCTTTTGTGTTCCTGGACATTGGTTGTGTGCTTAAGAAAACGTTTGGTTCATGGATTAGAATTATAAGATTAGAATTATTTTCAATTTACGTATATTTTTTGTGAGAGAAAACACTATAACGAACCATGAACCATGATTCGAATCAGGATACGAATGGACATTGATTGTGTGCTTAAGAAGACGTTTGGTTTATTGATTAGAATCATAAGATTAGAACTATTTTTAATTTACGTGTATTTTTTATGAGAGAAAATACTATAACGAACCATGAATCATGATTCGAATCGGGATACGAATTTCTCAACTAAACAACTCCTAAATTTGAGAAGTCTAGTTTTATGGATCCATGGCGATCGTGGTATAAAGATGAAAATCACACATCCTACAAAGACGATCGCATGACCAAAGAGTATCATAGCATATTTCAAGAGAGCATAAAGTTTATGACAACATAAATCAACATTGAAAGAAAAAAGATAAAACAAATGAGAAAACAAATTAATAATATTCCAAACAAATAGGAATCGAATCTGTCAGGGGATGAAGATATTTAATTTCAGTATTTTTTTTTATTTTTCTTATTTCGTGAGTCTCAGTCCATGAATCGTGCTATTAGTGGGAAGCTTGAGTTAGAAAGGATAATGGGAAGCAATGACCTCGTTCAGTTTGCTGTTGAGATGTGATTTTATATGAAAATTTTTAACTGTAACAGAAAAAATTAAAAATAATTTTTTTATAAGAGTTTTTAATTATAATAAA